ACTGCCCCGGGCCACTTCTAAATTGCCCACGACAGGCCACGCGGGCCGTACAGATGGTCAAGAAAGCCTGAAGAGGCCCCGAAGACGCCCAAGAGCGCCCCAAGAGGGCCCGTGAGGGCCCCAAGAGGGCCTTCAAGAACCCAAAATCGGCCCATTTCTTTTGTAAAACGTATATTTCCAGCATACCCGCTGGCTTCGTCTTCACAGTGCCCCAGACGCCCCCGAGGAGCCCCAAGACAGCCCAAGAGAGACCCAAGAGGGCCCCAGACGGCCCAAAAAGGTCGTCCCGTGGGGCTCGCGGAACCCCCCGAGACGGCCCAAGAAGCCCCGAGGCCGGCCCAGGAGGCCCCCAAGACGGCCTCAGGGAGGCCCAAGAGGGCCCCGTTCGAAATCATGTTCCCGGAAGCCTCTCCGGGAAAATGATTTCTGGGTTCCGAGGACGCCCACGAGGCCCACAAGGCAGCCTCAGCGAGGCCCCAGAGGGCCCGAGATGGCTTGAAGATGGCCGAAGAGGGCCCCGAGAGGGCCTTCAAGAGGCAAACATCGGCCCATGTCTTTTGTAAAACGTGCATTTTCAGCATACTCGCTGGCTTCGTCCCCGAGGAGCCCCAACACAGCCCAAGAGAGACCCAAGAGGGCCCCAGACGGCCCAAAAGGGTCGGCCTGTGGGGCTCACGGAACCCCCAAGACGAACAAGCCCCGAGGCCGGCCCAGGAGGCCCCCAAGACGGCCTCAGGGAGGCCCAAGAGGGCCCCGTTCGAAATCATGTTCCCGGAAGCCTCTCTGGGAACATGACTTCCCGACTCCCAGGACCCCCTACTGGGCCCCAGGACAGCCTCAGCGAGGCCCAAGAGGGCCCGAGATGGCTTGAAGATGGCCGAAGAGGGCCCCAAGAGGGCCTTCAAGAGGCAGAAATCGGCCCATTTCCTTTCTTATAAAAAATGCATTTTCAGCATACTCTCTGGCTTCGTCTTCACAGTGCCCCAGACGCCCCCGCGGAGCCCCAACAGAGCCCAAGAGAGACCCAAGAGGGCCCAAGACGGCCCAAAAGGGTCGGCCTGTGGGGCTCACGGAGCCTCCCAAGACGGCCTCAGGGAGGCCCAAGAGGGCCTCGTTCGAAGTTATGTTTCCGGAAGCCTCTCCAGGAACATGCCTTCCGGGTTCCCAGGGCCCCCTAGAGGGCGCCAGGACAGCCTCAGCGAGGCCCAAGAGGGCCCGAGATGGCTTGAAGATGGCCGAAGAGGGCCCCAAGAGGGCCTTCAAGAGGCAAAAAACAGCCCGTCCCCGTAGTAAAACGTACATATTCAGCATACTCGCTGGCTTCGTCTTCGCAGTGCCCCAGACGCCCCCGATGAGCCCCAAGACAGCCCAAGAGAGACCCTAGAGGGCCCAAGACGGCCCAAAAGGGTCGTCCTGTGGGGCTCACGGAACCCCCCAATACGGCCCAAGAGGCTCCAAAGCCAGCCCAGGAGGCCCCCAAGACGGCCTCAGGGAGGCCCAAGAGAGCTTCGCTCGAAATCATGTTCCCGGAAGCCTCTCCAGGAACATGACTTCCGGGTTCCCACGACGCCCAAAGACAGCACCCAGAGGCCCCAGACACGCCGAAGATGGCCTCAGGGCCCAGAGGGATCCCGAGGCGGCCCGGGCCCGCCCTGAAGCAGGCCGCGACAGGCTAATGGAGGTCCCGAGAGGCCCTAGACGGTCCCAAGAGGCCCCGAAGACGCCCAAGCTGCCCTCAAGACGGCCGACGAGGACTCCAACACGCTCCAGGACGGACTCAAGAGGCTCCCCAAGAGGGCCCTGGGAGGCAAGATTCACTAATTTTCCGATGGTTTTTGAAGGATTTAGGCGTTCTCGCTTTCCCCGCTTCCCAGCGCTCCCTCACGGCCTCGCTCGGAGGCCCTTCAGATCGCTCCAAGACGGGCCACGAGGCCCGAAGAGGGCCCCAAGACGGCCCAGGAGGCTCCCCAGACAACCCAACTGTGTCCCAAGAGCTCCCCAAGAGAGGGCCCAGAGGGGGACCGCCAACCGATATTTCGAGGTCTCTGGCCCTAGAGGCCGCCTGTAGGCCCCTGGAGGCCACCAAGAGGCTCCCACGAAGCCCCGTGAGGCGCCCAAGAGGCCCCCAGGAAGCCCCAAGAGACCCCCAAGGGGCTCCCAGGGAACGCCCAAGAGGCCCCCCAACACACCCCAAGAAATCATGTCCCCAGAAAACCTTCCGGGGACATGGTTCATCATGGGCCCGAGAGTTCCCGGAGGCCCCCAAGGGGCCCCCAGGGAACGCCCAAGAGACCCCCCAACACACCCCAACAAACCATGTCCCCAGAAAGCCTTCCGGGGACATGGTTCATCATGGGCCCGCGAGTCTCCGGAGGCTTCGAAGTACCATCATGCTACAGGAGAGTTGTCTGGGAAGTTGATTGGGAACATGACTGATCGCCTTCTCGCGGCCCTCCGCAGATCGTTTCGCACAAAGTTGCCCCAAGTGCCCTCTTGAATCGACGACGACGACGACGAAACGACGACGACGACGACGACGACGACGACGACGACGACGACGACGACGACGACGACGACGACGACGACGACGACGACGACGACGACGACGACGACGACGACGACGGCGCGCCCCAATAGGCGACGACGACATTACGACGACGACGACGACGACGACGACGACGACGACGACGACGACGACGACGACGACGACGACGACGACGACGACGACGACGACGACGACGACGACGACGACGACGACGACGACGACGACGACGACGACGACGACGACGACGACGACGACGACGACGACGACGACGACGACGACGACGACGACGACGACGACGACGACGGCGACGACGGCGACGACGACGACGACGACGACGACGACGACGACGGCACGCCCCAACAGGCTCCCCAAGACGGCCCCAAACCCATGCTCCCAGAAGGCCTTCTGGGAACCCGATTCATACGGTCTCCGCCCCCCTACACAACCATTTTCCTCGAAGGCTTTTCGGAATGCAGATTGGCATGCGTGGATTGTGGTCCACTACTTCAGTGGAGCAGTGAATTCGTCAAGGCCTGGGGCCTGCTAGAACCTGAGCGCGCGCGAGCGCGCGCGACGGTTCTTGTGTGTATATATATATATATATACACGCTCATCCTCCCCAAGCACCCCCAACTACGGTCTGGGGAGAGAGTGGGAGCATCCTCATCATTCTCTTCCTCCTGCTCCTCCTCCTCCTCCTGCTCCTTCTTCCTGCCACAAGGGGAACCCTTCCGCATTCGGCCACAAGAGGTTCCCTTTGCATTCCGCCACAACGAATCCCTGGGCAATCAACCACATAAGGATTCCTCTTGTTTTCTTCACAGAGGAAAGAAATAATCCCCCAGTATTCCGCCTCAAGGGGAACCCTTTTGTACTCGGCCACAAAAAGATTCCTTTCGCATTCCGCCACATAAGGCACCCCTTGGGAATCAACTGCAGAAGGATTCCTCCTGTATTATGCCACAGAAGGAAGCCCTCAGTAATTCATCACAGAATATTCATTTGTTAGTAGTCCGCAACGAAAGGAATCATGTACAGTTTTCTGCCACACAGGGAATCCTTATGCAATCCGCCACAAGGTGAATATTTTCCCATCCGGCCACGAACAGCAAAACCAGCCAGACCGGCGCACAGACCTAGCTTCTTAGAGGACAAATAGAACCCCCTAGGTGCAAACATGGTTTGGCGAGTACACAAATCCTCGTTTCAAACCATACATATATATGTACACAAGACTACACTGGCGTCTCGCTCCATGCACCTGTTTTGTCCTTTAAGTTTAGCGTGCAGGCGGAGTACGAGAAAGGGATCGGATAAAATGGCAAAGTCGGAGGTTGGGGCTTCGACCGGAGTGAAACGTGAGGTGCCTCAGCTGGGAAATCGTTTCGTGCGTGACGAGCGCGCGGGCGAGGCGAGGCAAAGTTGCGCGAATTCCTCCACTGGCTAGGGCGAAGTCAGCAAAGAAGGCGCCCATATCCAGAGTTTGGTGTGCAAGCTGTCCCGATCGTTGTCCCGATGGTTGTCCCACTGGTTGTCCCGATAAAGAGACTGATATCGACAGATTGATAGTGCTATGTGCAGGTAGATAGCGAGACCGATAGGTAGTGAGACCGATCGGTAGATGATAGAAAGACAGATGAAGACAGGACAGATAGAGAGACACTGAAATATATACGCGTGTATGGACGTGGTATACAGACACATGCGTATATACACCGGTAGAAATATACATATGAACCTATGGATCACACACATGCGTAGACGTATACAAATACATGTAGATGAGCATACATATTGACTTCTTGATGCGTGTCCACTCGTGAGTGAATTGAATTGCGCATCGAATGCAAGTCAAAGATGACGCCCCCGCCCCCCCCCAAAAAAATAAACAAAAAAATGTGCTAGTCGCCCGAAGGGTGATCTGTAAGGTATCCTTGGTCCCATTCGCGCGATCGTCGTGCTGATCCTGTCTTTCTTTTCTCTCCTCACATGTCATCTTCCTCCCCTTGCGAAGGCACAGGAGGTCGCAATCTTGAGCCAGCAGGTTTGGGTCGGGCCCTGGCAGCGGGCTCGGGCCCGCGAGAGTTCGGCCCGCTGTCCCGCGTCCCCACGAGTAGGGATCTCTTAGGTTCCGGGTCGTGCCTCCCGCGCCCCCCATCCGCTCCCTTCGCGCAGTCGCCGCGGCCTCTGGTTTGGAGAGAGCGTCAGCTGTTTGGAGAGAGCTTCAGTTGCCTGGGGCTTCGGATGCCTGGCTTTACATTCCTCGCCACTCCCTGCGAGCCTCTCTTCGTCCCTCCCAGTTTTTGTTGAGGATGCTCTCTTCACAGGTCATCTTCCTCCCCTCGTCCTCGCCACTCCCTGCGAGCCTCTCTTCGTCCCTCCCAGTTTTTTTTGGGAGGATGCTCCTCCCTGGGCAGCCGCAGGGCCCCCGCGGGCACCCGGGGGCGCGCCCCCGATGCGCAGCTGCCCGCCGCCCGTGGCTGCCGTGCTGTGCACGGCGGCGTGGGCTTCTGGAAAGCGCGCTGGGCGAGCGCTCGCGCTCCAAGGGGAGGAGGCACGGAAGGGGGAGGAGGAGGAGGAGGAGGAGGAGGAGGAGGAGGAGGAGGAGGAGGAGGAGGAGAGGCGTTTTGGCCGCTGAAAGTGCACCAGGTATTGTACTGGCCAGCGGCTGAACCCCAGGCGTGTGCACGTTCAGTGCGCCGCGTTTGACATACTCTTTCTCAGTAATTACGCTCCCCTCCAGGCCCTGCCATTCACCGAGGGAGCCTGCTTGGCACAGGAGGGCCAGGTCGAAGCGAGCGCAGGATCGATGGTTGTTAAGACTGAACGCCGCCAGAGAGAGAGCTGAGGAAAGACTTGCACTGCATCATAGTTCCATGTCAGGAATCGTTGGGCATTGGACGTTCGTGGAAATGTTCTTGCAGCCAAAAGAATCCCTTTCATTACAAATGGTGCAGTGGTTGTGGGCTCAAGTGGCAAGGGCAAGCATGGGAATCCAGTCAGGTTGCCCCGTGGAGAAGAGAGAACTCTCGAGGTGCAGCATCGTCCAGAGATCGCCGTCGAGGAGGAATAGACGGAGACATCAAGAAGTTGATTGCGAGCACGCCGCCAGCCACTCCAGCCCAGGCCAAAGCTCATCCTCATTTTGCGCCACCGCTCGGAGATGCCGCCACGCACGACAATTATCGTCAGGAGGTTCGAAAAAAGGTTTACAATCTGGCTCAATTGGCAATCTCGGCGAGACAGCTGGGCAAAGACGACGAGGACGCGATCTACGAGATGGCAGTTGTCAAGTTCTCTCTTATGTTGCTTCAGCCTGCTCACAAGCGTTTAAAGGAAACCCGTCTGAAAAGGGGTCAGGCCAAAGAGCGGTTCGAAGAGATTCGTGGTCGGTTGAAACAGTTGTATGTGCAGGAGAACAATGCGAAGGAGGAGGTCATGCAGTTGGAGTCGTGTGTAGAACAGCTCGAGGCAGAGCAGCAGCAGGAGGAGGATGACTGGGTCGAAGAGACAGAGGCAGATCCCTACATGCAGGACCATCCGTCTGGCAGTGCTGGTGGCCCTTCCTCCTCTTCAGTTGGCTCCAATGTTGCTATGCACCAGCAGATGATGCAGCAATTTCAGGCTCAGCAGCAGATGATGATGTTGCAACAGCAGCAGGCATTCGAGGGGCTCATGGCCCAGATGTGTCAACGTATGCAGGGCATGGCAGTGTGCACTACTGGAGCGGGGATTCAGGCCCCACAGATGAATGGTGCTGTGGGGTTTCCAATACCTTCTGGAATGCCAGGACATCCGCCAGATCCAGTTGGTCCATTTCACCCGCCGTTGCCGGGCTCAACTGCGACACCAGAGCCGCCAGTGCCTGCTCCACTGTACTCTGTGACGGCCAAGGGGGGGGGCAAGGACAAGGGCAAGACCGCTCACGGGTCGGACCCGTACCCGATCTCCCCCACCGTGCCGATGGACGCCACGCAGCAGCACCAGAAGTTCCAGGATACTCAGCAGACGAGGGAACAGTTGGATTTCCTGCTCAGCACCCAGGGCTACGAATACATGCAGAAGTTGCGAGCGGCCGAGGTGGCTCAGGAGGCGACAGCTGTGGCAGCCCACAGCGCCTCGGGCCCAGCGGCGGCGGATGGGGCACTGGCGGCATCGACAGCTCTGGGGGCAGGGACCCCGGCGGCAGGAAGGGCGGCGACTGGGGGTACGACAGCGATGGCTGGTTCGGCTACCGTGGCGGACTCTCCTCTGTCGCCGACATCACCTGCGAACACGGCGATCGCTCAGGAGGGGGCAGAGCGCATGCGTCCTCGCGCGGAGGATGCTACCACCCCCAACACCAGGGCCCACAAGTATCAGTGTGTGGAGAGCGAGATGGAGGGAAACCTTTAGGCGCGAGGGTTCCCGTCGCGGGCTGGGGGGAGGCCCGCTTAATTAAGAATAATATGATGGGAAGCTTTCCCGCGTTTCAGGCTTTCGTTTCTCCAGTTGCTGTGGCCCAGGACGAGTTCAGTTCGCAAGTTCTGTCCAGGGGTGTCTTGAATGGTTTCAAGCTTCCTTCCTCGCGCGTCGAAAATACGAGGGGATGGAGCGCCACGGCACATTCATTTAGCCACGTCCAGAGCAAGGATTTCGAGTGATCAGCGAAGGGCCCCCCCAGCCAATTTTCCCCCAGGCTCGGCCGCTGCGACGGTCGTCGCACCTCTCACTGCCGCGATGCCAGGGTTTGGCAGAGCAGCGTCGGCGGCGTCCCCCCTTCCTCGGCTTTGAGCACCACTACCGCCCCTTCCCCACGGTATTGGTGGAGAAAAGGGACCTCGGCTAAGATTGCTGAGGCATCCTCACTCCTCAGTGGCTCTCGTTCAGCTTCGGTGCCGAGCAGGAAGACGGGGCAACCGTCAATCAGTAAGTTGAGCAAGAAAATCCGTTTCAGTTGTAAGCCTGAGGTCAGGGAATATGACCCCCGCACAGCTTTGGAATCTGAGCATGAATTCAAGTCAGATTTTATTGATCTGCAACAGCAACCTGTGCAAAGTAGTGCACAGAACGGCATGGTTAATTCAAGTGGGGTTTGCAGCATAGTTTTCGGGCCACAGCCTCCAGTCCCAGGCCTCTCGGATCCCAGGTCTAGCGAGTCTCGAGGGGGGCGATACCTCTAGGCTGGATCGCGGGGGGGGGTGCAGATCTGCGCGAGGGTGTGGGACGATGACCCACTCATAAGAATCATAGAGGATACGCCAGCCATGGAGCTCGATTGCGCCCCCCCCCCCCCCCCCCCCCCCCCCCACCCCCCACCCCCACCCACGCACCCGCCCCGCCCCACCCCACCCCGCCCCACCCCTGTTGGAAGCCCCAGCTCAGTATGCGTTGGACAACTGCCCTGCGAGAGTTGCCGATTGGGAGACGCCCCAGGCGGTCCACATTTTCACCGATGGTTTTCTCTTTGCCAAGAGGGGGTTGACCGCGTGGGCCTTTTGCGTTGTTGGCACCGATGAGAAAGGGAGTGCGTTTCTCGGCTCGTTGCGTCACCCGCATGCTCTCTCTAACACGATGGGGCTTACGGTGGAAGAAGCCACCAGCACCGCGCTCGAGCTTCAAGGAATTAGTTGGGCTGCGATGTGGGCCCTCTCCTTGCCCAGGCACATTGTCATCTCACATGGGCCCGACTCGCTTGGGGCCTTGGATGCCGCTTGACAGCGGACCAGTCCGAGGAGAGATAAGGAACTGCGCGCCCTGGCCGCCGCCCTCCGGGAGCTTGCGGGGCAGCGTTTTTGTTTCAAGGGCGGACGCGTGAAAAGTCACTGGTTGCATCCGTGGAACGCTCTAGCGGATAACATCGCCAAGGGAATGGCTTTGTCCCTGATCACCCCCAGCGCCTTGCCCCCTGTTCTTGTTGAACAGGTCCGTTCCGGGACCTCCACCAGGTGGGAGTGGCTCCTGGGGGCCGAGGGGGGGACTTGCATGCGTACCCCAAGATCGATGGAGGGCCCATGTTCACGCAGGCTGTGTTGCCAAAAGCGTCTCTCTGCGATGGTGAGAACAAGCCCCCTTCCCAGTCCGCTTGCGAGGAGGAGGAGGAGGTCGAGGTGCGTCTCAGGCTCGCTCAATTTAACGCCCGGAGCTTCAGAGAAGAACGTCGGAAAAGGCACGCAGGGAGCGATCCGTCTCAACAGGCTGGAGATTCTCAAGCAACCGTTTGGAGATGAGCGCTTCACCATTCTTGGCTCTCAGGAAGCCCGCAACGAGAAGGGCATGCGAGTGGTCGGGGATAACATGTGTTTGGCCGTGCCCAGTGGGCACTGCGAGTTTAACCTCGGGCGTGAAATCTGGTTCAACCTGCGGGGGCCCTACGCCAAGCAGGGGGAGGGGGCCCTCAGGTTCCACAGGGATCATGCCAGGATTGCGCGCCAGGACCCTAGAATCATGCTGGCTGTTGCCGCTGCCCCCCACTTTCGGCACAACATCCTGGTGGGCCACGCTCCTCATTCCAAAGGGAAGCCTGCTGGCAAAGAAGCCTTCTGGTCCAAAATAGGAGAGATCTCAGAGAAGCACGATGTCTCGATTGGATTCATTGATGCTAACGCTCGAACGGGGCCCATTGTGCCCCCATGGATTGGAGACGCGGCGGGGGTTCAGGAGGAAGATGAGAATGGGAGAGAGTTTCACCGATGGCTCAGCGAAGCCAGTCTCCATGCTGCCAACACCCTGCACGTCGACACGTGGGCGGACACGTGGACCAGTCGCTCAGGAGGCACTCACCAGATTGATTACATGCGCCTGTCCCCTTCTCTGCTCCCTCCTGCTTATGATGCCAGGGTCATGGTCGACCTCGAGCACGCGAGGGGGCACGAGGATCACGGTCTCATCTCGGCCAGAGTTGCGCGGAAAGGGAAGGGGGGGCATGCCCCCAATAATGCTCGCCCTAGGTCGGACAGGGCCCAGCTCCAGGACAAAAAGTGTTGCGACGAGTTCAGGCCCATGCTTGCTTCGGCTTCGTTGATCCCCTGGGAGTGCGAGCTCAATGAGCACATTAAGAGAGCCAATGAAAAAGTCTGGGATTGTGCCAGGGAGGCCTTTGCTGCGACAAAAAAGGGCTCGAAAGCCCTACATCTCCGACAACGCCAAAGCTTTGGTGCAGGTGCGGCGTGCCATAAGGAAAGTTCTCGCGATCAGTAAAGGCACTCGTCTCACGAAAAAACAGTAGGATGTCGGGGGACGCGGATGGCCCCAAGCATGAGGATGAGACCCTTGGTGCCGATGTTGTGTTCAAGGCCCGAGGGCCCCAGGTTGGAAAGGAGAAGTGGATTTCCGCTGCTTTCGCGCTTGTTCAGAGGGTTAGAAAGGTGACCTCAGAAGAACCGTTGTTGAGGGGTGCCATGGAGAATGGGTCATCAAATTGCTTGAGCTTGCCGCTGCCGCCACTCTTTTCTCATGGAAGCAGATCGAGGCCCATGAATGGTTGCTGCACCTTGTCTCTTTCATCTCCTCTTCCAC